TGCGGAGAGCGGCCGCTGTCCTGCACGGCTCAGCCACCGATAGGCCCCAAGCCCCGCTGTTTGTCATGTGTGCGCTTCGTGTAAGTCTTAATCGCGCATCTCTCCAGGCCCGGCTTCTTCTCTGTGCGGCTTGCCTGCCATTCGTAATGGACCAGATGCCGGAGCGGGTTGGGCCGGGGCATTGCAGATAATTAGAGGACAGTTACATTCAACCGATAAAGAGGAGGACACATTGATTTTGAAGTATGTCTCTGAATGGGCTCTTGTTCATGGGAAATGTAACTGGGTGTTTTGTGTTTCTCTCCAGGCCCGGCTTCTTCTCTGTGCGGCTTGCCTGCCATTCGTAATGGACCAGATGCCGGAGCGGGTTGGGCCGGGGCATTGCAGATAATTAGAGGACAGTTACATTCAACCGATAAAGAGGAGGACACATTGATTTTGAAGTATGTCTCTGAATGGGCTCTTGTTCATGGGAAATGTAACTGGGTGTTTTGTGTTAGGTGTCCATGGAATGAATATGGGGCAACTTCACAATAGGAAGCAAGCACTTTGCCTGCTTTTTTTTTAAACTTATGAGCCTGACACTGCAAATGCTCATGGGGAGACCTCCGAGAAAGCATTTTTGAATCGTTCCATGGTATGTAAAATAAAGCACAAGCTTAAGTGTTTGCAGAATCAATTTTCAGGGCCCGAATCTGCAGTGTAAATCAGCACAGGAATATCTGTATGTTTAGGTGTAATTATTTGAGATATCATGCTTCAAAATGTTTGTAGACCTTGCTGCACCATAATACTGATTTAAAATGTTAGGCAGCATATAAATACTGCATGTTAGGAGATAAATGTACTATTTTGCATAGAACATTACAAATGCTTATGGCAACTTCTTGGTTAAAGGACCAAAGGCACTTTCAAACTTATATTTGCATATAATAGGGATGTAATAGAGTAGTCAATTAACCAATAAGCAAAAGTTTATTGGTTAATACTATAGACTATACACTTTCTCCCTTGCCAGTAATTTTTTTAGCAAACTGGCCAGCAACCTGGTTCAGTCCCAACTTGCACTGAGTCTGGGACCTACCCCCACTGTGGCTTTGTATTTAACGTGTATTGGGTGGGCACGCAGCCTGTCTGTTCCAGCTCATGCTGGGTCTGGGAGTTCAGACCCCCCCTCCCCCCCCCGCTCTGAACAGATATTTAACATCGCTAGTATATAGTTTTATCTCTGTAGTTTTGGAGTGAAATGTGATATTTAACACTTCACAGCAATATTACACAGTCAATGACATTCTTAGTAAAAGTTAAGAGTGTGAATTTATTTTCAATATAAATTAAGACTTGTTCCTACATTTTGCCTATATTCTATAGTTTCATTTTGATACAATTACCATTTTTCATAAATGACTGCAAAAGCGACGAAGAGTCCTGTGGCACCTTATAGACTAACTGAAGTGTAGGAGCATAAGCTTTCGTGGGCAAAGACCCACTTCGTCTACATGCATCTGACGAAGTGGGTCTTTGCCCACGAAAGCTTATGCTCCTACACTTCAGTTAGTCTATAAGGTGCCACAGGACTCTTCGTCGCTTTTGCAGTCATTTATGAAAAATGGTAATTGTATCAAAATGAAACTATAGAATATAGGCAAAATGTAGGAACAAGTCTTAATTTATATTGAAAATAAATTCACACTCTTAACTTTTACTAAGAATGTCATGATGGCTTGATGATGATTTCAGGATCTTGGTTTTACATCACTCTAAAATCTTCATGAGCACAGTCTCCCTACTGCAATGCTGAATTTGGGCAAATATTATTTTATAGGGCTTGTCTAAAAGCAAGTTTCAGCAATTTAACTTTAAATTGATGTTGTTAAACTAGTTAAACCTCTGTGTGTGGTGCTTTTTCATTGTTTTTTGTTGACTTAGCTTGCCTCTTGTAAATTTACCCACAAGCTAAACCAATATAATCTGTGTTGGATGCGTCCAAGCACAAAGTTGGACTTGGTAATTCAGGGCGACTAAATTAACGAGTGAGTTGCACTGAAACACAGATTTGCTGTTCCTTAACATTCTCTTCTCGTTCCTTTTTACAGAAAGCTGCAATGGAGAATCAGCTTTTTACAGCCTTTCTTTTGTCATTTTCCATATCATTTTGTGCAAGTCACCGTCATGAAGTTGAACTGTCTACTATTGCACAGACTTCTGAGAAATTCATTCCAGATAAGGCAGCTGGTATAAACACTGATTTGGCAATACTTATGCAGAAGCATCATCTTCAGGAACTTTTTCATCGTTATGGCGAAAACAATACTTTGACTGTTGAAGGATTTAGGAAGTTGCTGCAGAATTTAGGAATAGATAAAGTAAAAAAGATCAATATTGGCCACAATCATGATCACCATCTTCATCATAACCATGTTACGCTAAGCAAAAGCTTTGAAAGAACAGATTGCCCAAGTCATGAATCTGGTGGTGTGAGTAAGGATCCTAGCAATGGTCAAGCAAAGGAATTACAAAGAGTAGAAAATGCTGAGCACAAGCAGAACTTTATAAGTTACAAGAATACTGTTACGGAAATAACTGCATCTATCAACATCACTAGTACTGACAGCAATCCTGTGTTACAGAATTCAGAAGTGAAAGAAGTGAAACCTGTTGTTCATACAAATTTAACCAGCCCTAGTGCCATGAATGTTACAGAAAGCAGCAGCACGAGTTTATTTGTTAATGGAAAAGCTAATGAATCTGAAATAAGTTACGTGTATTCTAAATTTAAAAATCAAAATACACAAGAGGTGAGATTAGTGTTCTATACTCGCATTGGGGGGGGTATATGCCTAATTACAAGTGTCTTAGCATGGGTGTCTTCAGTGTAGCGAATAAAGGCTGCTTTCAGCTACAGTTCTAAGAATCTTGATGCAAGTGTGTGTGTGTGTGTGTGTGTGTGTGTGTGTGTGTGTGTGTGTGTGTGTGTGTGTGTGATTGTGATTGATTTTTACTCTCCTGTAAGAATGTTGCATTGTTACTCATGTGCCTGAGAACAAAAGAATTCATGCATTCTAGTTTGTGCACTTACAGTGAACCCTCGCTACTTCGCGGTTCGACTATCGCGGATTCACGACTTCGCGGACTTTTTTCATTACATTATGTATATACGTGAATCCGCGATGGTCGAACCGTGATTGTGATTGATTTTTACTCTCCTGTAAGAATGTTGCATTGTTACTCATGTGCCTGAGAACAAAAGAATTCATGCATTCTAGTTTGTGCACTTACAGTGAACCCTCGCTACTTCGCGGTTCGACTATCGCGGATTCACGACTTCGCGGACTTTTTTCATTACATTATGTATATACGTGAATCCGCGATGGTCGAACCG